GGCTCATTTTCATTTCATAAGTCTCTAAATGTTCTCAGGTGGTGAAAGGTCTGCAGGGAGGCCAGTTCAGAAGCAATGCTGTTCTAATAGCTGCAGTGTTCAAATATGAAGGCCTTCATTTTTATTTCAGTTAATTACAATGTTTTTCACACCTAGTTTTAGTTTTTTAGTTTAGTTGTGGTTAACTAATATAACTGTGTCATTAAAGCAATCTTATTCTAAAGTTGTTCTATTGTTCTACACACAATGATGCTGCTGACCTGTTACCAGCTAACATGATCAGCTGCAGCTGTTTCTTTTGAGTTGTCCAGCATTTCGTGACCCTGACCTAACTTTGCTGAAATATGAGCTGTATGTGCTCATATTGTTCATGAAATATAAAAACCTCTCAATGGAAACATTTGATATGTTTATGTTTTGATAAAATATGTATTGATGAAGCCTAAAAAGTAATCACATTACATTTTACACAGTGTCCTGATGTTTTTGGGTATAAAGAAGGGCTGCAGAAAGTACTCAGCAGAATGATTGCCTGCTGTTCATTTGAATTGTTTCTGACATGTTCAACATCTGTTTCTCTTGAAAAGGAGAGAATTTGCTGATCTGCTAGAGAAATATGGATCTAATGGCAGCACTGGATCAACACGGAACTCTCCGATCCAGCAAGGTAGGGATGTTTCTGCTTAGCTCTGCTGGGTGATTTCCACTTTCATTTTCATCTCTTTCTTAATAGAAAGCTGTTGCTGCATTTGCATTAGAACAAAGGGTTTTTGTCATGCACGTGAAACAGTACTGCTGTAATAATGTGTTTGCATGTAGAGAAACATGTTTTTCTCTGCCCCTCTGCTTTGGATGAAGACAACACGGTACAGTCTTTGCAGCAGATCAAACTGCCTTCGGGGCTTCCTGCCAGAGACAAAACAGCTTTTTTCTGTTACGTCTCTGTCAGGAAGCTGAGTCATTAGCTAACAATAATCAATAGACTGAGAAGTCGCTTTCTGATGGACTTTTTTCATCAAGGCCATTTGTTTCCATGCTGTGACAGTAGCCCATAAGAACAGTTAAGCTAGCCAGGCTCCCTAGGAACACCATACTCTGTTTGTGCCGGGTGGACTGATCTTTACTGCTGCATGTTTTGGGGTTTAAAAGCCACAGAGATGC